CCCCGCGCTGCTGCGGGAGGGGGGACGGGGCTGGCACCGCCGGGACCCCGGTGCGGACCCGCGGTCCCACGGTGGATGCTCCGGCAGCCTGCGCGGCCCCGCTCGGAGCCTTCCTCGGAACACTTGCTCTGCGATTTTCTAGGGAGTTGTCCAAGACTTCTCCATCAGAAACGCAATTTCCAGTTATGCCCCCAGTCCATACAGGAAAAGATGGAAAATACCTCAATGGCAAATACATAAAACAATTTAAAAATTGATAGTAAATGGTGTTCCGTGGCAGAGTTACTGTCTCGCAGAGAGCACTTACTGGGCACTGCGGGCAGGGCAGTTTGCTGTAAGGGTCTATTACCGTTTGAGTAAAATTTCCTCAAGTGCTTGAATCCCATTCCTGCAGGCTATTTAGGCACTTAGGAGCCTAACTTTAATGGGACTCAAGCTTAGCCATTTCACCTAAATTATTTATGCGTTTGTTTAAATCTTAACCTTCATATTTAGGTTCATTATGAAAGTAATAAACAGATTGTATTACCAAGGTTGTATGTTTTTTATAAAAATTATATTTTTTCAACTATTTTCACTCCTAATTTTCAATTTAAAACACCTCTTATTTTGCTTTATTCCTGAGCGTATAGGGTATTTTATAAATAATACATTAAAAAATTACATGAAAAAGATGGAAAACTGACCCTAACTCGACACTGTAAAAGAGCCTCGCAGTGACACTTGCTGCTACAATGTCAGTCAAAGATCTGCTGGAGCGTTATTAGAGTTTTTTACATCTGGAAGTTGAGGTCTCTACGTTCATCAAGAACCTCATAAACTTTCATTGAAAGTTTGGTATAAAAGTTGTCCTTGGATACAAGTGAGAAGCCACACCTCAGAAACAGAACAGAAAGCAAAAATTTGGAAGTTACACCTAATGGCTTGTATTTTTCCTTTAATAATAAATTCGGTTTTTCTCAGCTGATATTTGAAACCAATTCTTCAACTACCAGTCTCTAAGTCTGAAAAGCAAAGCCCATAAGGACTGAGTTCCACTATTTCAGGCCAAATGTGTGTTACAGATTCTACGTTCAAAACTGCGACTGTAAGCAAGGACTGGAAGACCTTTCCCTCCCGACCTGAGTTACCTGTAGGAGGAAGTTTCTGGAATGAGGCTCTTCAAGCCTCATGAAGGTACAGGTCTGTTGTGAGCAGAGCAGGCTCAGAAGGTCAGTAGTTCCTCAAACACGTGTGTGTGTCCACCTGACCTCGGGTGCACTGGGCTCCTGGCGAGGCCGGGAAAGCTCGAGGGATGCAGAAGTGACAGAAGTCACTTGTGGCCCAAGAATTTCTCGGTGGAATGGCTTGATAGCAGGACTGGGGAAAAGCTGCCAGTGACCCTGCCAGAGGCCTCCGGATCAGACGGAAAAGAAACTGGTTTATTTCAGGGTTTGCTGAAAACAGCAGTAAATGAAACCTGGAGGTAAAAGGGTGTGATCCAGGCGCTGTGTATGATGCCAACCCTTCCTGGGATAGGGAGAGAGGCCAGTAGCTCACAGAGGCCTTAGCTGGTCATTCTACTGGCAATGGTGCATGAAGCAGAGTAGAAAACAACTCCCTTCGCCTCAGCTTTATTGGTTCTGGAGTGCTGTCAGTAGTAAAAATGTGTTTTTTCAGTAGACAAAGCAAATACAACCTTCAAGGCACACAGGAAGCCAATGTGGGCAAGAGTAAGATGCCACTTGTGCAGGGTCACATCGCTGATGAGGAGAGAAGAGGTATGCAGCCTGCACGGCCCTGCTGACGCTCCGCAGGCACAGCGCTGAAAACACATTATGTAAGCAGCTGACTTCAGGCCACAGCAGCGAGGATGCACAGCAAGAATTCAGGAGAGATTTGTTTCCCATTAAATCTACTAAGAGAAAATGGCCTGGCCTACTTCACCCAAACCAGTGCTCAGGGACATCCCTCTGAATTCAGCCCATGGTGTGGAATCAGTCTGCTCCAGGAGCAATGGTCTCAGGCACGATGCACGAACCACTGAAACACAGAGGGAATCTCCCAGAAAGTAATAAACCACTATAGAACTGGGAGGAAGAACTATGCCAGGTGTGCTTGGAAAAGATGTGCCTTCCTTAGGAGTGGAGGCTTCCTTGAAACTATTCTTGCTTCCCTTACACTTACGGATTATTTAAATCATGACCTCATTGCCTTTTGCTTCTTGTTTTTAAAAATACATTGGTACTAAACAATGATAGTTTGTTAAGGAAAGAAAACCAAAACCATAACCAAATGAGTCCTCTGCCCAACTCTCATGCAAATTTCTCATATGGCTTTAGGCAACACATTTCATAGCTCTGTCTTTCCTTATTTGTAGAGCAGGAATACTAATCCTTGCCTCTTCCATGGAAATGTTGGAGAGTTTGATTAGATGCTACCAGTATCAATGGATCAATGCAGAAGGAAGAGTCAAGTGTTTTACCAAAATTATAGAGGAAACCTGTACTTGATAGAGCAGACAACTGAATTAAAATCACTTAAATTTTAGTCTTAGGTCCTAGCAAGCTGCTAGAGCAGTTCCCTCTGCTAGACCCGTTCCCTCTTCCTTGGTCATAGCCTTATAAATTTTGTAAAGAACTCCTTACAGATTAATTTTCTACCTTTTTTTAAAAACTGTGAATCCCTAAAAAAATTCTAAAGGACATGCACAGCTGTCAGCCATTTTACATCACTCAAATGTACCAGATGACAATCTACATGATGAGCTATCACGAGTCACGTATAACCTTGACCAGGAATTCACACACCACCAGTAGAAAATCACTTTTCTACAACTTTCAAGCTATACTCTTTAGTCTGGAAAGACTCAGGGAGATCTTGCTGGACCTTTGAAATGCGGTGCTGTGTCTCAAGGTAGCTCATCCATTTCCCTGCCCCGTTCCTGATGCACAGAAGGGGCCACAGAGTGAAGACTGTGTTAAGGATGACCCAGTGTCAGCAGGTGATCAGCTGCTCTGAAGGAAAACAGTTATGAATCACATACTTTGGAAAGTAAAACGTGTTTTGACAGGGAAAAGTTCTACCTTGAAATCCCAACAGAATGGAGACAGGGCAGGATACATTTGGCCAAGAATCTTTATCTGCAATGATAGATGATGTATAAATAATATATTTTGAAACTCAGTTATGGGATGAATGTTTTATAGTGGAGTAAATCCTAAAATGACTAATGCATTAAAGCAATGAAGAATAAAACCACAAAAAAAAGAAGACCCCAGAAATAAAACAAGTTATTTCTTAGTCTTTAAGTACAGCTATACGTGGAGATGTACCCATTGCCTTAAAAGACTCCTTATAGAATTGCTCTATTTTTCTCATTTCATGTCATTCTTCCTCCTGAAATACTGTGCTTGATTCTCAGCCCACTCTCCTCTTGCCTCTGCATTTTTCCTAAGGTATAGACTTTTGTCTTTAGAACAGAGCTTGTGCATTCATCTGCTGATAAACTGTTTATCTTAGCTTTTATGAGGGCGCCTTGCTGCAAGGCAGCCAGAGACAGGATCCTGGGTGTTTGTCTTTTTTTTTAAAAGAGGGTCCGGGAAGTGACGGGTATTTATACCTCCCTTGGCTCTATATATCATGGGAGGTGGAACTCCACTGTCTCTGTTTCTCGCTCTTTCTCTCAGCAGTGTCTTCTGCCGTAAATCTGAACCTCTCAGAACAGTTTTCTTGGCTGCAGCCCTACTTGGAGGAATTAGTTTTATTTATTTATTTACGGAAAAGGCTTGCAACAGAGGAAACCCAAAGTTCTTCTAAATCCTTCCCCTCCTCTACCCCACCTAACCATCCCACTTTTTGTGCCAAATATTAACATCCCAGCAGATGAGAGAAGATTCCAGCGTCTCACAGTGTGCAGACCAATTCATTATGGAGAGAGAGGCCAGTGGGAGAATTGGCAAAGATGAAACAGAAACCAAGGCATTTTTTATGTTAAAAAATGACACTTATATTTACAAGCAGTGGCTCCTGATGGGGATTTGAATTTCCACACAGGCAACATTGTTTATCCAAACAAACTCCCTGTGGCAGCATATATTACATATATACACACATGACAAGTAGGAATGTATTTATCCTTTTTAGCCAGCCTGGTGATTAAGATAAACATCTATTGAGATAAACCAAGTTTTTACTTTTCTTTTTTTATAAAACACTAAAGACAACTGAGTGACAGAGATTCAATGAAGCGAAAAATACAGCAACCCCCCCAATCAAGCCCTGTGTGCCTGGGAGTGATTCATTGGTGCCAGCTACTGAATAACCCTGATACATAACATTTCTCACCTCTGATATTTAAAAGGACCCCCTCGCCCTTTTAGCACCAATGGAGCCCTTCAAATGTTTTATTGCTAATTGTCTAATGCTCCGTGATGAATGGCTGCCTCACTGAAAATGACAACCCCTTTTCTCTCAACTACTTCATTTTCCTGGCTCCAGTGGGGGTGAAGAGGAAAAAATAAATCCGATTACATCATACTTAGCCTGTTGGTTATGAATGAAGGAAAATGCAACTTTATTTTAAAAGTACTTTTATCAACTAAGTCCTGAGCCC